GCCCTGTGGCGCGCCGGGGCGTGGGGGGCCTGCCGACGCTTGGCCGCTCCTGGCGGCGTGAGCCTGCGGGTTAGGTTTCTGTGAGAGCGTAAACGGCTGCGGTGGGGTAAAGCCAGCCTGTGTTTTCATAAGAGAAACAACTGGCCCGCTGCATAAATGAGATAAACTGTGTGGGAGACCACTTAGTCGGTGGTGGGGGCGGGAGTTATCTTTCTGTTGCGTGGTTTTTTGTTTTTTGTTTGTTTTTTTTTTTTCCTTTCGTGGCAGGGGAGTCCCCCTCGGGGCTGCTAGACAGGACGCCGCTCGCATCAGGGGGAACGACTCAAACTGAGGCTAGCGGGGAGCGCAGCGTGCCCTGTTCTTCGGTTAGGTGTCGTTCGCTTGTTACTGTCGCTCGTGGATTGGCAAAGGTTGAGGATCGTTTATCTGTTTCCTAACAGAACAGGATACAGATCGGGATCTCTGGTGCAGGGTAGTACTGTAATACAAATAATTCAGACGCTCATGAGTGGTTTTTGTTTTGTTTTTTTTTCTTCCAAGAACAGTTTTAGTAATGCTGTCAGATCTATAGCGTGTAGAAGTGCAGGGCATAATTCTCTTTAAAAAACAATTTTTTGGTTAGCATTTGTGTCACTTGTATTAAAAGCTGGGGAAAGCAGTTAGTAGTCTTGTGGCTGTCATAAAAACCGCTCACCATCTGCTTGAAAAATCCTGGATTTTCTCATTTTCACTCCTGAACCTCCTCTTGATGACAGTAGTTGCTCTCCAGTGTGCCTTGGGAAGCTTGAAGCCTGCCGTGCTGCTCTTCCTACCTGGAGTAGTTGCCAGTGGTTGAAACGTAAAACATCTTGACGCTAACCACATCCACCCAAGTGGGAGGGATAGCTATATCAGTTTGACCCAAGAGGATTTCTTTAAGTCTTTAAAGGTGTTTTTCTTATTCTAAAATAAAAATAATGTACAAGTTGGTGGATTAATGCTGCTCTTATAAATTCGTACTGTCACTCTGATCACTTGGTTTTGATAAAAAGAAATAGAACAGGAACTTGGACTTTCTAAAATAGAGAAAATAAATTATTAATACCAGTGGTTGCTTGTGGAAGTTTGTAGTTGCTTATAGGCGATTTTTTTTCCTCTTGGGAAAATTCCTTGTCTGGAGTACCCACCCTTTAGCATGAAGCAATCCTGCTGTAATGTGCATTTCTTTTATGAACATGCAATATCAGTGAGTCAAAACAAAATTGTATCATTGTTCCAGGTATCGCGGTCAGGCTCTTAGCCACCATCAGTTTTAAAATCCTGTTGAAAAGATCAAATGCCTTAATATTGACATCGGAGATTATTGAACCAGAACACTTTTAAAAAATTATGGATTATTTTGTTTACATCTTGCACTTTCACTTTAGGTAATGAGTTGAGAGCATTTCTGTTACTTACAGGATAGCTGGAAAATGTTGCACTGAAACCAAAGTGTGCACTAAAGCATCTGATTTTATGTTGGTTTTGCAATTTATAAAGTGTTAATACAATTTTCAAATAGTTTATAAATGCGTTGCAAATAGATTTAAAAATCTGTGCTTGTCAACAAGTTCAGATACTGTCTTTTCAAGCAGCATGCTTCCTGAAGCATTGAGCTTCAGGAGCGTTTCAGTTAAATACCTAGGATCAGAGTTTTTGAATTTCTGAACTGGCTTTTTATCACAGTAACCTGCTCTGCAGATGTAGAGAGAGTATTTTATTTCCCATTTTTGAAAGGCTTCCTTTTAATGAATGCTTCTTGAAATAGAGAAACTAGGAGTAGAAAAAGAGGAACATTTTTAGTTTTCCTTGTGTATCGTAAGGTGTGAGAAATCTTAATTCTAAAGCACAAAAGATGTGGAGTGGAATAACAAGTCAGTACAGTTCACTGACAACAGATAATATTTCCTGGCTTCTTGAATTTTAAGTCTATGCTTAGAAGAGCTCGATTCTCTTTCATTTGCATTCAGCAAGCTTAAGGTCACTTTTTTATCAAAACGACTTAAAACTATTGTTTTCACATTTAATTCTGTGCAGTTGACGCTTGACAGAAATCTTGAGTGAAAAAGATCTGGTAAAATACATCACTTTTTACTTTAATATGTAAAAAAAAAAAAGGTGAGAGACTGTCCTTTGAACAGCATTCAATAGGCATATAAGCAGTTATATGTAACCTTAAGTAGTGCAGAGTGCTAAATTATACCTACCGGCAGGAGTCGTCTTAGGAGGAGGGGGAAAAAAAACGGCAAAACCAAAGACCTGATTAAAATATAAATTTTTATTTTTTGTATTTAAATCACTGTGTCCTTAGCGCTGCCACCCTGGAATCCAGTAAGTTGAAACTTTTAGAGTAGTGTCATGTATTTCCTCTCTTCCAGCTGGTAGGTTTGCAAGCACGCCCTTACTCTAAAACATTTTATTTTCCTCTGTTGCTGTGCTGAAAACCTCTGTAAATAGGAAATGAATATAATGAAACTCATTATAAAAGTCCTGTGAAAGTAAACAAATCAGAAAAATAGCATTTTTATCTAGTCGCTTGCATTATGGCTATTTGAGCTGTGGTTTGTAGTAAGTAAATCACTTCAAGCAGATCTATGGTTTAAGCTTTGTAACGGCTTTTAATCCGGGAGCTAACTTTGGTTATTAAAGGATCACGATGTCTCTTGGAGTAATTCCCCAAGTATGTACACAGCTGTTCTAACAGCAATCACATGTATTTCCAAGTCCCTGTGAGCGAGGTTGAGTCCTCCATGCTGCTGCTGCTGCCGCCAGCAGGCTTCAAACTTCTGCTCGGTGGCTCGGGGCAGTTTCAGAGGGCTCTGAGCGAGGGCCTCCTCTGCCACCCAGGGCTGCCCCCTCCTGCCCTCGGGGAGGCAGGAGCCCCCGCGGAGGCTCTTCCCAGCTGCGGGCGCTGGGGGGAGAGAGCGGCGGTGGGGAGCTTGCGCTCTCCTCCCCTCTCCTTTTCTCCTTCAGTAGCTGGCCCTATCCAGCAAGTTTCCTCCTCATCTGTTCCTGGATCAGGATTCAGGGCCTGTTCCTATCTTCCACATGCAGTTTTTGTCAGTGGTGGCACCTTTTTTTTTTTTTTTTGCCTTTCCTAGCCTGATGGCCTTTGCAAGAAAAGATGTCAAATTATGCAACATGTTGTTAAAGCTGGCACTTCAGTTTTGTAACTGGACTTCCTAGTACACATCCTGAGCCAAATCTTGTTCTTGCCGATTGTCCGCTTTCTTCCAGATAAAACTTTCCAGAACTGAGATGGTTTTCCCGAGTTGATGTCAGTGCTTTGATGTTATATCTGTTAATTTTAGGCTAGGATTTCAGGGGAGCCTGAGAAAATAAGGCACAAATGTCATGGTGACAGCTGAGTGCTTAACTCCCGCCGACCCTTTGAAGGTCCCGCTTCTTATGTACTGGGCATGCGTTCTATAAACGCTTTCTGGGGACTGTAATTGAAAGCTTCGTTAATACCAAACGTTTTAGGTTGCTACTGGAGTAGACTTCTAGTCCAATAGTTTTGAACAAGTTCTCAGAATTAAATAGTTGACACTGTAGAACTAGTGTATGTTTTTGAAAACGGCACATAATGTATTGTTGGACGTGCACATACTGATTAATTAACTGTAGGCTATTCTTTGCACGTTCTTAAGATGAATTGTCATCTGTGTGCACTTTTACAGATCCACTGGCAAATTAAAAATCCATTCCTGTAAACAG